ACAGATTCCACCTTTTTGTTTCTTTGTCAGCTCTCAGCAGCAGAATTTATATGACTTTTCCAGGTTTCATTTGGCAGACCAACACAAAGTAAAGAACGACAATCTGAAAAAATGCGGACCCATTTGCTTCTGCTTAAACTCAAGTTCTAATTCTGATTTGATTAAAACTGATCATTCTCATTTTAGGTGAGATCTATGTCATTGTACTGAATTATGAACGTAAATCCAGTAGAATAGTTTTCTCTTTTATTTCCGCTCCAAATATCATACTTTTGTAAAACCTGATATTTCCATTTGTTACAACTTTATTGATTATAAAGAGAGGATTTTATATTTAAAGTCTTCTGGAGAGCTCTGTCCTTAGCTCTGACAGTTACACACCTTAGAGTTTTTACACTTTGCTTCTATTAGACGTTTTTCAGAGAATACATCACATTACTATATTGTTTAGCATATAAAAAAAATGGAGGTTTGTGTAATAGGTGGGAAAACGTTGCATGAACAGAAACACTTTGTCCCTCTCTACACCACGAAAGCAACGATGTTTCTGAATTCTCTCCTTTTTATTATAAAGAGAGAAACTTTAACCAGATTTTTTCTGTAGTTTTAGCAGCAATATCATATCAGTGCGTACATTCAATCGGAGGCTACAGAATAAATGGAAAATCGCAGAAATGATTCATTCTGCATTTTAAAGCTTATTAGGAAGATTTAATTAAGGAATATTTTCATTTCGCTGCAGAAATATACGACGAAATGCGGCAACGTCGTTTGGTTTAATACTCCTTTATTTTCCAACACCAAAATAAAAATTAATTTCTTGTCGATATGCTTGCATTTTGAATGCAGTTCAAGTCTAAAACCATCTGCTGCTTCTGATAGCTGCTCCTTATTCAACTTTACTTTGCCCCCTACAAAAGGGAACACTTTTAATGTTAATCTTGAAAAAAAAAAAAGTTGATTTACCAAAGATAATTTGTAAGAATGAGATATGAATCTTCAGTTTTAACAGCAGGCAAAAAGACAGTTAGGAGTCGGACGAACATGAGTTAGATAAACAGATTCGCAGATTTCCAGCATCGGGATGTGATGTTTGGTTCGTTTCCTCATCAAAAAGGGAAAATCCTTAAAAAATCTTATGGGTCAATTAGACCTTGTCAGCTGCTAATCATTTATTGCGGTTCTGTTGCCCGTTTAGGCTCGCTGCCCTTCATATAAAAGCAACGTTGGGGAACCAAACGTCCCAAGGCGGGACCGAACTCACCCATTATGGGTATCAAACGACCGGAGGCAGACAAACAACTCCAAACTCCAAAAGGTTGGGTATAATGAAAAGAATATATATGTTAAAGTGGAAATTAACAGCACCTGTTTCAAAAACGAATCATCTTCAATGTTTGTAAAAGAAAAAGCAGATAAAGGTACACAGGCATCAGTAGACAGGCAGCTTCTGGTTGGGCTTTTTTTAACTTCCCACCTAAAACTAACTAACTGGTGGTTTCAAATGATCTGAAAGACAAAAACTGGTGCAGGCAGCTCAAAATAAAAGTGCAACTCTGGTGTAAAACTCTAACAAACAAAGCCCAACATTTCCAATCAGAGTTGGCAGAGAAAAAAAAGGCAAACCCAACTGTGGTGAGGTCTGGTTACCTCACGCCCTCCTGACTTAGAGGAGTTTGGGTCTGGATGGGTTGGGCCTGACGGACGAGTAGGCCCCGATGTGAGTGATGAGGTTAGGCTCCACACTGTGGGATCTTTCTCCAGGAGTTGTCCTGGCCACCCGATAAAGAACCGTGTCCTTGGCGTTCCCTTTGTAGCAAAAGGAGGCGTCCAGGTAATCCGCCACTCTTAGCGAGGCGTTGCCAGGGAATAGCATGGCCGGGGTGCAGCACTCGGTGGCCGGGGAGACGGCGTAGAGCTGCGGAGAAACTCTACGAAACTCCAAGAGGTAGTGTCTACCGACGAGCTCGGCGGCGGCCATGAAGTAGAGGGTGAAGAGGATGAGATGGCTGGCGGACAGAGTGAAGGAGAAGGAGCAGGGGTTCCAGTAAGAGATTGCGAAGAGGAGGGCTGTTGCTCCCACCAAACCGAGGCCGAGCCATTCCAGGATGCGGTACGGCTCAGGGTTCCAGTAGCGCTGCAGCCTCTCTGGGTGATACAGCTTAATATAAAGCGTGTTGAGGGCAAACCGACGAGACAGCAGGTCTTTGACCACCCTGAAAAAGTCCCGTCTAGGGAGGGCATCATCCTCCAGGATGATCATGTTTTTGGGCTTCACCAGCTCCCATCCCTGTCGAAGACAGAACACGTAATCCCTCTTCTCCCTCTCGAAGATGTTGATCTGTCCTCGGTCGCTCTGCTGCTCCTGAGTCGACCTGCGTATCACCTTGAAGTGGGCCTCCAGCAGCTTGGCGTCCTGGTTGTCCTGAGGGCCTCTCTCTACGTCGCAGACCAGAACCTCGGCACACCGCTGCTCCCCACAGCTGCCCGCGGTGACGCTCAGCTGCTGCATCACCTGCAGCAGGTAGTGGAAATCCCGCGCCTCGTTCCGCCTGGCCGTCACCACGGTCACCAGCAGCTCTGGATTCTGGGTAAGGTCGCTGAATTTGGTCGCCTCCAGTGGGGAGCTGTTCTGCCAGAAGCGGAGCGCATCCTGGCCTCGCCCGAGGCTCTCCTGCAGGGACTCATCGCTCATGGAGTTTAGGTACATGAACCGGAAGAAGAAGTAAGAGTAGAGCAGCCTGTGGCAGCATAGAGGCAGGATGACGCAGAACGTGATGACAAACACGGCGAGGGCTTGAGTAAGAGAGCTGGACCATCGCATGTGCTGAGCGGAGAAAACTCTCCATTTAGGCATTGATAAAAACAAGAAGTGGGAGCTGCCGGCAGCCTAAATAACTCTGAAGGGTAAGGAGCGGTGAAATCAGATGACTCTGCTGTGAACTGATGGGTCTGTGGAGAATGGTGTCAGATGTCGGCACGTTTTCATCTTGGAAACAAAGAGGCTCTGATCTTGATGCCTGAAGAAAAAATAAAGAGTTTTATCAGGATTTGAACGGTCGGTAGAAGGCCCAATCCCAAACTGGCCCCTAAACACCAACCCTGAGCACTAACCCTCCGCAAGATTAAGTGCCGTCCCAAATCAGGTAGTGGGTAGGGCGAGTGGACCGTCCAGCCCTCAAATAGTGATTCTGCATTAGTTCAGGCTCACTGGAATTTGGCAGCGGGTGTAACGGCAACCTAATGGTGGAGGAAAAGTGTTCCTCCAAATGTAAGTTTTGCTGGTTTACTAAATCTTCATCACACTGAGAACCCTGTGAACCGCGAGGAGGCGACCCGGCCAGAGGCTGCTGTGGAATGGGATCTTACTGACAGCGCAACGCTGTATGTGGGGGTCTG